AGGTCGTTAGCATCCAACAGGTATGAGTACATGCACAGCCAGACAACAGGTAAGTACCGACAACACAACCAATCAACGTCAGTCTTCCCCTCACAGAAGGCCACGTCAGCATGCACTCAAATCACCCCAACAGCAGGCAAGCACCACAAGTCAGAGTCTATTGCTCATGCCGCTCCCAGCGTCGGAATGCATCAATCGTTTCCCAAGGCAGGTTGTGCCTGCGTCAGCCAACCCCCGGTATGCCAACTCAGCTTTCGCCAAGTCAGCACGCCGAACCAATCAAGATCGTGGGGGGGGGTGGCTTTAGCAAGGAATGCTGGCCGCTCCACTTCTTTCTGTTACCTTTTTCCTTTCGTGAAGGTGAACTCCAACAATGTTGTGCTTCACAAATATTCTCGCCGCATCCCAAGTTCAATCAAGTCTGCCACGTCAGCGTCGGATCTCGCCAATGCCAGCGAGTAATGAAGGAGCCAATCAATCATCTCCAATCGTCTCTGGCTGGCGAGATAGCAATGCGGCAACTCTATATTGTCGGCGAGACATCATCAGTGCATGAGTAGAAGTTCCCTGCTCCAATCTTCAATGGACGTGGATGTGCCACGTCAGCAATCAATCATCATTGGCAGATAATCTGCCCGTCATCACCATGCCCGTCGCGCACGTCGTCGGGCTCAATGTCTAGACAGTGTGTTGAAAAACACGCGCGACAATAATGTCGCGAAAGAGAGAGTATCCCGTCACTTACTTACCTGGCGCGCGCGACCTTGGAGAGAAACTGGTGCGTCGTAATCATAGCGCGTCAGAACAACGCGTGCGGCGTGAAGACAATGTCGGAAGTGAATGCTCCGATACCAAAATGCAATGTGCCCAGTCGTGATAATCAGTCGTCACTTGGAAAGACATAGTGGACGAACGCTGCTGATAAATCAAAAAAATAATGATTCCCAATGAGAGAGAAGGCATACACATACGAGAGAGGGAGGAGGGAGAATAGACTTGAGAGGGTGGAAGAGTCTCCTCCCTACAGCCCACTTCCTCCTCGAGCACTTCCTCCTCCTAACCGCATAATCGTGTCTCAATCAGAGATCCGGATATCCAAGACAATGTAGACCAATAGTGCCACGTGGCAGCAGCAGACCAGTCATCAAGCAGCAACGTGATGACGAAGTTGAAGACACCAGGCACGTATCACGACCCAAACCACAATCCTGAATCCTTCTTCCGAATACTTGTCAAGCAGAACAGCAATAGAGGCGCCCAGCGCCTTCCATCTCAGCAACAATACTACGTGGCAGCAGCCACGAAGATAACACGTGGCATCTGCCACGCCGATAACCCCTCAGACAGTAGTGCGCCAGCCAGCATGCTGGTCGCACAGCATACTCAAGCCACGAACCAGCGACGAGCGCCGGTCATCAAGTTCTCCCGCAGCATCTCGCCAGCAAGACAGCATAGAGCCCACATTGACGCGAGAGCGTCGAGTCCCCATAGACTCCAGACGAGAGTCTAGATGTCAAAGCCAGGAAGTCAGCCCAATATGTAGTGTTGACGGCGGGGTCTGGGCCCCAGTCCTCAAGTCAGACACGGCCGAGATCGATTGTCGTCGACGGCCTGGACTGGGTTGAAATTGTATCTTCCTTGGTCCACCGTTCTGACTGGGTACCTGCACACATACAAGTCGATGTACACGACCAAAAACCTGGGCGAGGTACCTGGACCTACAGTTCACTTTGACCTTTGAATTTCTTGTTGTGCGCGGTCACACAGTCACCCGCAGCGGCCTAAGGCCGAGCAGCGCGTGGTCGCACTGCTCGCTGGGCCTGGGCTTGGGTTACAGCGCCAAGGCCACTGCTGATCGCCGTTTACTGCAATATCGTCACAAACAGAACTACCTGGTAAAACCGTAGGCAGAGAGAGAGAAGAGGACAACAAACGAGGGGTTGTGACAAACTATTTCGTCGGAGTTTCACTGACTCATCAGGAGGCTGAACCCTCAACAGTCAGCAGAATCCCCTCACTGATTACACTGTAAATGATAATCTACCTTAACCAAAATCAAAGTAGACTATCACTCACCTACACGAGATGGAAAACTCTACAGACTGTCGGTCCACACCCCATCACAAGCCAGCGAAACATCCACGAAACAAAGAAAGGTCTGTCACAGCCAAAAAATACACTCCAGACACGCCGCTGGTATATATATATATATATATATATATATATATAAATATATATATATATGAAAAGGTTTATACAGTGGACCTGAGAGGAAAAGTGGACAGTGGAAGTAAGGCAAGCTGACACTCCATCCTCGCGGATGCTGGAGTAATGAATGTTGCTCAGGGTTCCTCGGCCAGACCGGAAGGAAGGTTAAGTGTGTTTCGGGATGTAATACTTTGTTGAAGTTTGTTCAGACTACGGTGGAAACGGTGAACCATTGGAATCGATATTCGAATGGGGCAGAGGGCTCGTAGAGTCGTAGTACCTTTATTTACAACAGCAGCCTAGCAAAAAGGTGCGCGCAGCGCTGGTCTGGTTGTGTACACAGTCAGCCGTTGGAGTAGGAACCGGACTGATGCTCCCCAGATTGGAAATGGATCCAGGCCCAAAAGGACCTGCTTTTTTTTTGTTTTTGTTTTTTTTGTTTTTTTTTGTTTTTTTGTATGTATTTCCTCTTTCTGGATTTTTTTCAAAAGTGCTTTCTGTGTGTCTTTCATCTTTTCTGGAATTTTTCGAAGCTGTGCAACATGCAAGGAACCTGGCTGTTCACAGCTTGCTGGAGTGTTACACATAGCATGCATAGATGTCGTCACACAGATAGAGAGACTTCACACAAAGCCAAGTCGAGATGAGATGAGAACCAAATAGCGCAGCTCATATCATCAAAATCACTTTATACAAAGAGTATCTCTAGTTCAAGAGTTCAACGCCCACATATTATAAGTCTCCCTCGTTGAATCACCATTATAGGGTCTGACTCAGCCAGCGCTTCCCCTCAGATCACAAGTATGGCGCCAACAGGTAAGTATCCTACTATCCACCATATCCTACTCCTTAATCTGTCTTCTCTCTTTCTCCCTCTCGAGATCCCTGTCTTGGTTCCCTTGTCTCTTTTTGCATGCTCACTCCTTGCTTATGAGGATCTACTCTGAATGCTACTCACTGATGCCTACTACTAATCCCTCTACTTCTACTAATATAGCTGGCGCAGCTATGGCTGCTTCTCCCAGTTAGCGCCCAGCCGCTTCTTCCTGGCGCAGCTGTCAAGCCAGCGCTCCTTCCCTGCATTCTAGTGCACAAGTGCCACAGAACTTCCACGCAACAATGTCTATGGAAATTTGTCGTGTAGGGAGGCTGGCCTAGTCTTTTATAGTGCTGACCTCCCTTCGCGAGGTCTGAATCAGCCTTCCGTGGATCTTTGCCCAGTCCCAGACCACTGCAGAATGTGACCCAGTACCTTTCCCTTAGGGTCTGCTGCTGCTGCGGCCCTTAGGTCTGAATTTCGGACTTCCAGACTGCATTTAGACTCCCTCTTTGACTTGGATCTATACAAGGACCTTATCTCCTTGACTTCGTTATGAACAGACACATCTACTGCACAAACAGACACATTTACTGCCCGAACAGACACATCTACTGCCCAAACAGACATGACTTGCACAC